AGTAGTAAAAACTTTGAAGCATATGGTGTAGCTCATAAAAAAGATCGACGTAGGGCGAACGAAAACCATAGAGGATTCTTAGAATGACCGATAAAATATAGTGCTTTTCGTGGCAATAATCGTTCGCGACATGGCTGTTTGGTTCATGTTTACTATGGACTACATGTATAACCTCAGCTGCACGACTTAAATAGTCAACGGGTTGTTAATTTTCAGATGAGTAATTTTTAACTACAAATACGGATATATAACTGAAAATACGCGGTTTACGGAAAGGTTCGTGCGGAAAAATGCAAGTGAAGTTTTTCTGAATAACAGAAAAGACATTTCGCCAAAAACGCCGTTAATTTGGTAGATAAACTAAAACATGTTCACTCAGCAGTAAGATATTTGCTTCGATTGATTTGTTGCCCAACTGGTTGAATTTAGTGGATATTTATGTAAAAAACATTATGAGACAATCATGAATGACCAACTTTCTAAAAAAACTGTGCAATATGCCAATTTTCACACTTTGTGAAAAGAAAAGCAGAAATGCTGAACAACATATTCCAATCATATGTAACCTGCTCAGAACATAGTTAATGCAGAACACAGTCTTCCTGACATTTACGGTGACGAAAACAGCTCAAAATTTTTAAAAATCTATTCCAATAAAACTTTAAAAAAATATGAAATCAACATAAACAGGTAGTCAATAATAATACCAAGTCAAGCCACTTTTAGTATTTCGAAGTTGTGCGTTGTAACCTATGCAACAGTATAAGAAGACAAGGAGATCCTTCCTTTAGTTTGATATACTTTTAAATTAACTGTATCGCAAAAATATTGCAGCTTGTTAAAAAACAAACAATTATGTACTTCATATAGGCATTTATTTTGTTAGATTAGCAGCAGTGAAAAAAGCCACGCTTGTTGGATCTAATAGTTGTTATTGCCATCTTAGCCTATTCCGAGCGTTTCTTACTAAGCGGCCTATTTTGAGAAACCTACTGGAGAATTTATTTTGCACGAATAACTCGGCAAACAAAAGCTCCGGGAAATAGTTGCGTAGTGACTCGTTTGGTACATGTCCAGAAACTGAACTTTCTAACAAAAAAGCAGGCTGACTGCGATGTTAACTCCTGAAAGTTATGTTATTCAGAATGCCACTTCAATAGTCACATCTTTGCCAATTTTACTTAAACTTTGAACATCGCATTCCATCTTAATAATAGCATATCCTTCTATCAAATTTAAATTTATTAAACTGATCTGCGTTGTGTAAGCGATTTGTATATAAATGACTTTGTTTCTCCTGTGGTCTCAGGAAGAGTAGGTGAACGCCACAGAGGCTCAGAAAAAGACTTCATAATGAAATTAGTTACTGTGTTTAACTGACAACTTTGCTGTTTCTACAAGTTTGCTTATAGATTTCTGGGCACAACTTTGAAGACTTATGTTGAGCAGCGCTACGGAATGAGGCATAAGTATAGTGGTTCGGCTCTCATAAAGTATGTTAATATCGTCACAAGATAGCTATTAGTCAAAAATGGGGGGGTACAGTATCGAATTTCGCTTAAACCGACTGGCTTCTAAGAGTTCCCCTTCAAAGTAGTCCGTTATCTCTATTTGCGGTGGTTCTGTGACCAAGCTAACTAGAAATAAGAACAGTCTGTTGAAACTGTCCAACTGTGGCAAATTTTTCAACCGCCTAGTCACCAGCTTTATGCCTGTGTTTCTCTGCTACTGTAAAAAACATTATTTATATGCCATTAGGTAATCTTTTCGTAAATTAATTACAAGTTGGCATAAAGAACATTTTCCTGGACTAAATGGAGGGCATGGAGTAAAAATAACCGGATCGAGCCAGAGAGAACAATGAATTCTACTATGCACTATATGTGGCAAGTTACTTTCAGAACAGCGTGCGTCATCGTCAGCAGCCAGGCTGGTAGGTGAAAATAAACGAGGCCGAGGAAGATTTCAACCACAACAAACGAGTGTCACGCACCTTCTACCTTGACAAACTACCGCCTCATTGTCCCATTTAGGTGGGCTTTGTTGTCCTTTAAATGCATACGATCTCTGTTCAATTTTCGGCCAAATACCTATTCCCTTGAAATCTAATCTTACCTATGCAGCAGATGTTATAACTCACTTAATGTGGTGACCGAAATTTGAATGCATATTATGGCATAAAGTTGGTTATATTTTTGTTTTTGAACCAATTTGAGGTGAACGGGACCTATTACTAAGTAACGCATTTCAAAACTGTATTACGTAAATGAAATAAGCTTCCTCATGACCCAGAAATTCCCTAGGTTATTTACTAAAACTGAAAAAAGCTCTTGTTAATAAAAGCAGGAAACATTTCAAGGACATTTCCTTTGAAAAAAGAAAAATTCATTTCGTTTTCATGCAAATCAAGTGGAGATGGATTTGAGTAGCCCAAAATGTTATGCCTTCTGTTTTTTATTTATGAGGTTAATAGTTATAACAGCTACTTCAAATATGGTAAAGTATTGCGTCCTGTCCGCATGCACTTCATT